CATATCGACAATGTTCTCTATCTCCCTGCAGCATAGACTTTCTTCCTCACTTTGCATTGGCATACAATTGCCACACAGACACCATTCCGATGTTCCTACTCTTGTTGGTGAAGCTTGCGTATTTTCGTCATTAATCACTTGCTGTGCAGGTGGATCCCAGTCCATACTATTTAAAATATCTGGATCAACTGCATGTCGATGACGGTCCTCAAAATATTCTGACAGCTATAAATATATGTAGTAGTTTTTTTTTTAATATGTATTAGATCTTCATAAACACAATAACATTTGTATGAATCCTAGTCGGTATTGAATAAATGATGACAGTTAGAGGACCACAATAGTGTTTTTAAAAAAAAAAAGTTTTCTTGTCAATATAGGGCCATTAGGTCCACCCCACCCTCAGGGTCCCACTCCAGCAGGGCACTCTGGGTTAACCCCTTAAGGACGGAGCCAAATGTACACGTTGTGAACAAAACAAAATGTAAACAAAACCTGGCATTTGCGCTACATGTCTGTCCAACCGTAATTCACCTCTTTCATAGTAAATGCACCCACCCTTATTATATATCATTTTATTCAGGGGAAACAGGGCTTTCATTTAATATCAAATATTTAGCTATGAAACATAATTTAATATGAAAAAAATGGGAGAAAATACGATTTTATTGGATTTTTTTAGTTCTACATGACATTTAAACGGTCAGTGTCATAATACTGTTTGCTTTTACTGCAATAAAATACACATATTTGTATTCAGCAAAGTCTCACGTGTAAAACAGTACCCCCTATGTACAGGTTTTTATGGCGTTTTGGGAAGTTACAGGGTCAAATATAGCACGTTACATTTGAAATTGAAATTCGCCAGATTGGTTACGTTGCCTTTGGGACTTTATAGTAGCCAGGAATGAAATTTACACCCATAATGGCATACCATTTGCAATAGTAGACAACCCAAGGTATTGCAAATGGGGTATGTCCAGTCTTTTTAGTAGCCATTTGGTCACAAACACTGGCCAAAGTTAGCATTAATATTTGTTTGTGTGTGAAAAATGCAAAAAACGCCAATTTTGGCCAGTGTTTGTGACTAGTGGCTACTAAAAAAGACTGGACATACCCTGTTTGCAATACCTTGGGTTGTCTACTATTGCAAATGGTATGCCATCATAGGGGTAATTTTCATTCTTGGGCTACCATAGGGTCTCAAAGGCAACGTAACCAATCTGGCGAATTTTAATTTGAAAAAAATGAAACGCAAGCCTTATATTTGACGCTGTAACTTTTGAAAACACCATAAAACCTGTACATAAGGGGTACTGTTGTACTCGGGAGACTTCACTGAACACAAATATTTGTGTTTCAAAACAGTAAAAAGTATCATAGCAATAATATTGTCCGTTTAATGCTGTTTGTGCGTGAAAAATGCAAAAAACGTCACTTTACTGGCGATATCATCGTTGTAATACATTTTACTGTTTTGAAACACTAATATTTGTGTTCAGCGAAGTCTCCCGAGTAGAACAGTACCCCCCATGTACAGGTTTTATGGTGTCTCGGAAGGTTATAGGGTTAAATATAGTGCTAGCAAATTAAATTCCCTTTACTTTCGGCATGGGTTGTCATGCAGGTCCTGCTAATTGTAATTAATTAAGATACCTTATTATGTAAAAATATTACATAAATATATATGTAGAATCAATATATGTATATATATACGTATGTGTATATATATGTATATATCTATATAATTTTTTAAAATATTTTTATTTATATATAGGTATATATATAGTGATATATACGTATATATTTATGTGTATAAATATATATATTTCGTTCTATGTGTATTTTGATATATATATATATATATTAATTTCACAATACAGTTAGAACGAAATAACACACATCTATATATTTTTTAATTATTTATTTTTAATTATTTTTGTAATTTTATTTTTTAACGTATTTACATTTTAATTTTTTTTATAATATATATAAATATATATATAACAATAATTATATATATATTTAATCAGTATCAGTGTACGTGTAATTTGATATTAATATATATATATAATTATATATATATTAATAGTAAAATACACCTAGACGGTGTACATGTGTGTATGTATATGTGTATATATATACTTAGATCATATATATATAATATATATATATGATCTAAGTATATATTATTTATTTTTTTACACTATTTATTTATTTAGAGCCGCCTATTAGAGGACGTAATAGTACGCCCTCCGGTCTTAAGGGGTTAAAACCCCTTCAGGCACTTTTCTTTCTCCAGCACCGCGCTCCCTCGGTGATGGTGAACACTCCTCCTACTGACATCATTGCCGAATGCGCCTGCGCGGCAACTGCAGTGCACGCATTCAAACCGCCCATAGGAAAGCATTACTCAATGCCAGTGATAAGATGCTGCATATCAATACGTAAGCATTGAGTAATGCTTTACCATGTGTGTTTAGAATGCTTGCGTTGCAATTGCCGTAGCCGAGGGAGCACAGTGCTGGAGAAAGTTAAGTGGCTGAAGGGGTTTTAACCCCGAGTGCCCTGCAGGAATGGGACCCAGAGGGTGGGGTGGACCTAATGACCCTATAGCTTTTTTTGTTCTAGGCTAGGAAACAGCTATGTTTACAGTTGCAGTGTTGACACTAGAGCAACCTGGCACCAAGACCACTCCATTGAGCTGAAGTGGTCTGGGTGACTATAGTGGTTTAAAATTCTTCGACCATGAAAACATCCATCATGCAACCTAATGTAACTGAATTGAGATTAATGCATTGGTCCAGTCCTTTTTATCCTTCAATACAAAATATTACCATTTGTCTCCTAGGCCAATGATTATCTCATTGCTTAGAAAATCGGCTAGACTTATGTCTTTTTTTTTTATTATTTGGTAATTGATATTACTAAAATAGAGTGATCATGAAAAATGTAAGTCACTTATATAAACTTACCATACGTTGGATGTCCGCATCATTTGGATCAGTTGAAACGGAACTATTTCCACTTGCCATTTTTTTTACTTAGCTTTTAAAAAAGAAGAAATCAATGAAAATAAGCAGAAGAAACATTTCTAGTACATTATATTAATTTTTTTTCTTGTTTTTATTACGACAGACATTGTGTGTTGCTGGCATCATGTGAGTGGACGAGATGAACAATAAAGAGTCCAGTCCTCACATTTTTGAAGAGGCAGGTAAAACAATTTTAAAAACTAATTAAAGTACCACTATAGTGCCTGGAAAACTCTTGTTTTCCTGGCACTATAGTGGCTTGAGCTTGCCCCCTCCCGCCGGGCTGGATGGCGAGGAAAGGGGTTAAACTTATCTATTTTCCAGTGCCGGGCAGGGAGCTCTCCTCCTCCTCTCCGCCTCCGATCATCCTCTTTTTCTGAATGCGCATGCGCAGCAAGAGCTGCGCTCGCATTCAGCCTGTCTCATAGGAAAGCATTTCCAATGCTTTCATATGGACGCTTGCCTCTTCTCACTGTGATTTTCACAGTGAGAAGCACGCAAGCGCGTCTTGCATGGGGTTCTCAACGTTAGTCCTCAGGACCCCCTACCAGTCCAGGTTTTAGGGATAACATAAGTGTGTCTAAGGTGTTTAGAAAAAGAAAAAAAAAACCCTTAGAGTCAAAGGTATTTTTTTCAACCCTTTTTCTAAACACCTTAGACACACCCAGGTAATCCCCAAATCCTGGACTGGTAGGGGGTCCAGAGGACTGGGTTGAGAACCCCATCACTAGAGGATTTGGAGGCTTGATTTAACAAAATATAAACATAGAAGTTTCTTTGAAACTGCAATGTTGATATAAAAGAAAGGGTTACTCCTAGAGGGACCTGGCACACAGACCACTTCATTATGCTGAAGTGGTATGGGTGCCTACAGTGGTCCTTTAATAAAGTTATTTAGAGGATCACTGTAGTGTCTGTAAAACAAAGCTGTTTTCACGACACTATATAATCTTTGGTGGAACTTCTCCGTCAGGGTTCACCTCCCGTGGCGCTGAAGGTGTTAAAACCACTTCAACAGCTTAGTTAAATCCAGCGCCGGGCTCCTCCTTTTAATATGTGTCTAGGACCAATGTAGTGCCAGGAAAACATACTCGTTTTCCTGGCACTATAGTGCCCTGAGGGTTCCCCCACCCTCAGGGACCCCCTCCCGCCCGGCTCTGGAAGGGAGAAAGGGGGTAAACTTACCTTTTTCCAGCGCTGGGCGTGGAGCTCTCTGCTTCCTCTCCTCCTCCGCCGATCCGCCCCGTCGGCTGAATGCGCCCGCACGGCAAGAGCTGCACGTGCATTCAGCCGGTCGCATAGGAAAGCATTTACAATGCTTTCCTATGGACGCTGGCGTGCTCTCACTGTGAAAATCACAGTGAGAAGCACACAAGCGCCTCTAGTGGCTGTCAATGAGACTGCCACTAGAGGATTAGGAGGAAGGCTTAACTCATTTATAAACATAGCAGTTTCTCTGAAACTACTATGATTATAAAAAAAATGGGTTAACCCTAGAAGGACCTGACACCCAGACCACTTCATTAAGCTGAAGTGGTCTGGGTGACTAGAGTGGTCCTTTAAGCTTCACTATAACCTTGAGTGCTGGTCAGTTGTACAATTTATTTTTTCCATGGACTGCAAGCACCGGAATTATATATAAGAGCCTGTGTGCAATCGTGTGTATGTATGTATATGTATATGTGTGTGTGTATATGTGTATATGTGTATATATATATATATATATATATATAGAGAGAGAGAGAGAGAGAGAGAGAGAGAGAGATATATATGTTTGTTGTGTATATACACACGAAAAGCTTTTTAATGGTGTTGTTATTTTTATTAACGGTTTTTATTACTCTGTCTTTGAGATACATATAATAATGTATAAGTGTGTTAGTGTGAGTGTATATATACACACAAACATCTCTCTCTCTCTATATATATATATCTCTTTCTATATATATTTTTTTTTCTTCCTGACAGCCTCTCTCTCTCTCTCACTATATATATATATATATATATATATATATATATATATATATATATATATATATATATATATATATATAGAGAGAGAGAGAGAGAGAGAGAGAGAGAGAGAGAGATAGCGGCTGTCATGAAGGCAAATTTTTTAAAAAATAATACTATATAAATATATTCCCAAAAAATAACGTCACACTAGAAATTGCAAATATTACATATTCTTTTATTCCAGAACCAACGTCGGTTCTGTAATAAAAGAATATCCAAGATTTGAAATTCATAGAAATTCAGAGAGTGACGGTATTTTGTTTGGGTATGTTGTTATAGCGACCAGAGCAACATATAGCACTTTTTTTCATTTTGTTTGGAGTGAAGGATTTTTTATGTTTGATATATTTCTGTATATCTATAAATTTCTCTCTCTCTCTCTCTCTCTCTCTCTCTCTCTCTCTCTCTCTATATATATATATATATATATATATATATATATTTTTTTTATATATATAGATATATATATATTTTTTCTATATATATATTTCTATCTATATATAGATATATATATAGATATATATTTCTATATATATATTTCAATATATTGAGATATATATATATATATATATATCTCTTTATAACTTAAACTCTATATATATATATATATATATCTATACATATAAATATATCTCTATATATTTCAATATATCTCTCTCTATATATATATATTTATATATAACTATATATATCTATATATATATATCTATTTCTATATATGTATATATATATATATTTCTATATATATCTATATATTTCTATATATATATTTCTGTATATATATCTATATATATTTATTTTACTATATATATATATATTTCTATATCTCTATATTTATATTTCAATATAACTATATATATATATACATATTTATATATATCTATATATGTCTATATATATATATATATATATATATTTTGCTATATATATTTTGCTATATATATGTGTATATATATATATATATATATATCTCTATATATCTATATATATATTTCAATATAACTATATATATATATATATATATATAGATAGATATCTATACATATTTATAACTATATATATCTATACATATTTATAACTATATATATCTATACATATTTATAACTATATCTATACATATTTATAAATATATATATATATTTATATGTAGATATATAAATATATAGAGATATATTTATATGTAGATATATAAATATATAGACCTCGAATGGTAAGGAGCCAGGCAAGGGGAGTGCCTTAAGTAGGCTAGGGGTGGAAAACCAGCACCTCCCACAAATGCAGGCAAATTGCCTTAATACTTGTGTTAGGTGCTTAAGATAGTACAGTGTGAAATACCATGAATAAGCGTAGGATGATTAAAAGGAGCAAGTCGGTTGTGGTGTGCCGAAACCGACGATGAGGTAGGCCTGAGAAAGAAGAGGGCAAAAATTAAGTAATCCAATTTATTAACAGACAACCAATACATATACATTTATCAACCAGACATGTTTATGAAAGCATCTCTTAACTCTTGTACTGGGTTCGGTATGTACCGTGAGTAAGCAGATGACTTCCAGCGCCCCAGTGTTTTGATAACATGAGTTGGGACGTTGAAACTGGAGGCTGTGGACGCGGCTCCTATACGAAAGGAGTGTCCTGAGTAATTGTTTGCGTTGAGGCCCAGTTGTGTGAGCAAGGACCTGACGTAGGTCATGAAGGTTGTAGTGGTGAGTACTGCACCTTGTAGTTGTAATAACGGTTGCGAGGGCAGTAAGTGATGGTGCTGTATGTAGGCATTCAGAACTTTAACGGGACACCATCTGTTGTGCGTGGGGTAGTACGGAATGTTTACAGGTATGTGCTGGCTGGTTTTGGAGTGAGGTAAAGACAGGATGTAATGATCCATATGTTTTGTCAAGTGGGAATAGAGGAGGAATGGAGTGGTTTGGGTCGTGGAGGTCGTAGTGAATTCTCTGGGTCGTAGAAATCCATAGAAAGCGATGTATATTGCTGTTTTGATGATAGAATTCGTATTAGTGTCAAATGGTTTCAGGTCGAGTAGATTAGATAAAGCTTTGAAGATATGGTTATCTATGGGTAGCCTCTGGGCCAAATGTGTGGGATCTGATTTTTGAATACCTCTGAGTATGGTCTTGATTTGGTGAGAGGCCATGAAACTGTTGTTATTTGGGTGTAAGATGAGCATGTGGTGTTGAATGCCAGTGAGATAGAGTTTGATGGTGTTATATGACAATTTGAGTTTAAGGTGGCAAAAGGAAGCAAACCCCAAAAAGATGTCATAACAAACGGTTGTATGATGTTATGTTCCAGAAGGAATCGTTTGAATAGTGTGAAAGCCCTGTTGTATGTTTGTTTGTATTGTGTGAAAGTGCCAACTGAGACAATGTCCTGCTATGCTGCATGATGACGTCTAGTCCAGTATGAGTTGTTGAAATGTTGGAGTGATGGTGGCTGTGGGTGCTGCTGACGGGAGTGCTTGATGAAACTCCTGAAATTTAAAGCGAGACAAACTGTCAGCAGCTGTGTTGTATACACCTGGCACATGAAAACAACATAGGAAGAAATTATGACAAGCTGCCAACCAAGTGAGTTTCCTCAGAAATCTCATAATCGTAAGAGATTTGGAACGACCTTTGTTGATGATGTGACAGGTCGCCTGGTTGTCTGAGTAACAACGCACTGGTGTATTAGCCCATAAATGACCCCACGCTACGGCAGCCGCCACTATGGGGTAGATCTCAAAAAGAGCTGAGGTAGTGGAAAAACCTTCCAAATCCAGAACTGCTGAAGGCCAGCTGCCCCAAAGCCATTCGTTCCCAAAAATTGCTGCAAAACCAGTGGTAGATGCCGCATCTGACCAAATGGTAGGAGATGATTCAGTCAATTGAGGGAGGAACATACTTTTACCATTCCAAGTGGTTAAAAACCTCTTCCACATGTTTAGATCTGCAGTAGCTTGGGCATCTAAGGACAACCTGTGCGTGTCATGTAGAAAAAGTGGGAAAAGATGCAATAGTCGTGAAATAAAGGAGCGGCCTTGAGGTATGATGCGCATTGCAAAATTTAGTGACCCCAGCAGGGACTGTAGTTCTTTGCGGTTGCAAGTGCCGAGCTGTAGGTAGTTGTTAATGTAAGTGAGAATATTGTCTATCTTTTCGTAAGGTAGGCTTGCTTGCATTGTGGCAAAGTCTAACTGGATACCCAGAAAAGTGATAACCGTGTCTGGCCCTTCTGTTTTCTTTGGGGAGATGGGTACACCTAGTTGTTCAAACAGCTTAGTGGTAGCTTTGAGGCTAGTGGGAGGTGCAGTATTCTCCTCGACCAGTAGGAAATCGTCCAAATAATGTAATACTGTAGGGCATCCGGCTATGTTCAATAGTAACCAGCATAGTGCTTCGGCAAATGTGTCGAAAATAGCTGGGCTACTTTTGGACCCAAAAGTTAACCGGGAGAAAAATAGTAGTTCTCGGACCACTTGATGCCATGCAGGTGCCACAGTGTGGGGTGGATAGGGAGTAATTTGAAGGCGTTAGTAATGTCGGTCTTACTGAGCCAGGCTCCAACCCCTGCTTGTATGATAGCTGTAATGGCGTGATCTATGGTGGTGTATTGCAGAGAGAATTCCTCAGAGTGTATGAGGGAATTAAGACTGGGGTTGGCCGATGAGTGGGGAGACGATAAGTCAATGATGAGTCTCTGTTTTTGGGAAGATTTCCCTGTGACAATACCAATAGGGTTGGTGCGCCATTCTGTGAATGGGGGAGTTCTAAAAGGCCCCAATACAAAGCCCTCCTCCACTTCTTGGTTTATGAGGGTGTCAACCACTGTGGGGTTGTGTTGGGCGGATTGTAGGTTTGGGCATTCCAGAGTGCCAGCTGGTATGTGTGGGATACCTGTGTGGAAGCCTTCTGTTAAACCAGAAATAAGAAAATCTACCAGGTGTCTAGATGGGTGCTGAGACATCAATGCTGTGAATACTGGTATATTAATGGACGTAAGGTAAGGCTTAGAATACATTTTATTTGGACACATGGTCTTAGCATGTGCCCTAAAACATTTTGAACAGACATGCAATAGTCTACATCCACTGTAATTACAAGACCCAACATTGAAATTATTAAATATCTGGGACTTGCCCAGAAACTTGATTGGGCGTCCCAATTTGTCTGTGGATAGTTTCCCTGGATCCCCAGAGGAAGTAGTTCCTTGTGTGGAGGCATGTCCGTCTGCCGTGTTTGGACAAAAATTAGTAGTATGGGCTGTGGAGGAGCAGTATGCACAAGCTGGTGTTCTTAGACCTGCAAAGTGTCTGCAGAATAAGACAGTATCAATCCTTCCCCAGTTGGACCGTGTACCGTACTGGGAGAAGGCTCCAGCCACTTTTGCAGAAAAAGACCTATGGTAGTCATAGAATGCTGAACCACCATATTTGTTGCCCAGGTCTACCAGCTTGTGCATATAGAGATCGAACTCCTCTCTTCTGTTGGGATAGACCGCACAGACGACAACCCTGTAAATACCAAATGCTAGAACAAATTCAGGGATAGTCAGTTTCCTGTTCAGGCGGGCATCCCTAGATCTGACAATAACAGAAACATCATCATAAGCATACGTCTTATGTTCCACAATGTCCTGGGAGGCAATCAACAGGGAAACCAGGTTGACGTCTTTACCTTCCAGGATATCCCTTTTGATATGCTCAGGTATCATGTGGGCCGGGCTAACTTCCTGGTCATCCAGGGGGCTGGCTGGAGCGACTAATGGCAAGGCTGGTGTTTGTACTGCAGCCACGGTTGGCCCTGCTAGAGTGAGGGCCCTGGTGACCGACTCCAGTTTCTCCAGCCTGGAGTTGACCTTGCCCATGGATGCCATGAGTGAGGATAACATGGCATGTATGTCCCCTGGGTTGGACTGGCTAGATCCTTCCCCGGCTTCCATGTTATTAGTTGATGTGCGTAGCAGTTTGAAAAGTTCTGCCTTCCTTGCTGTAGCGGGGTAGGGGATTTGTCGTCTCCTTAATTCCGTGGTTATGCGTGGGATTGTCCAGGATCTAATTGAT